TCAAACGACCCTTTCACAGGGGTCATCCAATTCATAATAGTACCAAAATTACAGTGATGAAGTAGGAATGAAAATAATTTTATGATCGGCAAGGGGTCACCACAACATGAGGGATTGTATGAAAGGGTTGCACCATTAGGCAGGTTCAAATCCACTGCATTAGATGGACATACCATGTTGCAGACCAGAGAGTAATGACGTTATAGGACATTGGAATGGGCAGGTGAAACATTTGTTATCCAGAATGGGAAGAGAGACACACGAGGGGGCAGTTTTCATGCCTTTATGGTGTGTGCTCACACTCAATATGAGGGGTCAAAGGATCAACCCTGGATAAATTCCTCAGGGGATGACACTAGTGCCACTGCACAGTTTTTTCCCGCATCCCCCAAAATGGCTTTTTCTCTGTTGGATTGGTACCAGGACCAGAGATGCAGCTGCAAGTGTCAGAAGCAGGGGTGATCCCTCAGCAAGGGACTGTGACTACAGCCCTTAACCTACATGCAAGCATTCCCCAGGGCTTGATGGGATGAATTGTACCTGCCCCTCACCTGGCAGAACTAGGGCTCACTCACTATGAATACTGTCCTATTGCCTAGTGGTTGAGTCCCCTAGCCTTGTGCCTACATAACCCCACCCAGTAGGAATGGGAATGGACTGAGGGAGATCCACGTGCTAGACTGGTCTTCCTACCAGCAATCTGGACTGGCACAATCGCTGAATCTGCTGTCCTTTCTCAAGGTGGGAAATTTTGAGTGAAAGTGGGAATGAGAACCGCTGAAAGTAAAGGAAAGAACAGATGGGTCATGCAGCAGGTAAATCTAACATTATGCTTATTCCTGGACAGAGACTCAGAGATAGGGAATACTTTCTCAGTTGAAGTATGAATGGGTTAGTGGCTAGAAGAGTCAGGGAGTGGCCTAAGTTACAGCCAATTAATATGACCCTACTAGTCTGAATTCCTTAGATGATGTATTATAATTGTGGACTCCATGCCTGTGGCTATAATCCAATCTGGATGGTCTTTTCTACTAGTCAATACTACACTGGTGATATAGTGAGCATTCGCCTGTCAACCACAAGGTCATCAGTTCAAAACTATCAACCACTCCACAGAAAAAAGATAAAGCATTCTACTACAGCAAAGAGTTACCGTCTCGGAAACCCCCATAGGCAGCTCTACCCTGTTCTACAGGGTCACTATGAGTCAGAATGGACTCAGTGGCCATAAGTTTGAGTTTGGACAAGATTGGGGTGAGATTAAGATCTAACTTTAATAGAGGGGATGAACCAAGCCACACACTTTGTTGCCTTGAGGGCTTCTTGAAGACTACTTTGGTAGAGAATGTGACTTAAGACCACCTTGGTTTTCCTTGGATGGGGTATAGATGTGCTGGTACCACGTATATAGTTCTCACATGCATCACATAACCCAGAAGGCCAGACCTCTATTTCCTGACTGAGCTTTGGTAGGAGCAAGAAGTCCTGCTGTGTTTTTTGCACATCTCTGGCTCCCGGCTCTGTCCCCTGCGTTTGGCTGACCTCTGCCTGACCTTCAGATCTGGGACTGAACCTTACCCATCACCAAGTGAGGCATCTCCTTAAAGTTTTGTGGGTTTCTGTGAGATGTTGCAACAAATTGCAGAACCCATGGACATGGGGGAATATCCCCAGGGAAGGAGTGGGGGGAATCGAGAATAGCACCTTAGAACAGTTGGACATCTGGGCTATTTTTAAACTTGGGACCAGTCTGGTATTACTTTCTTATAAAGAAATTGTAACCACAGTACTCAAGTAACATATTCATCAATTCAACTGATAACTATGGATGTGATTTCATGTACTACGCCAAACACAACTCATCCCTTAGAACCTAGATATACTTTTTCACATATGTAGGGTTTTGACTTTTACAAAAATTTTTCAAAAGGTAATGGCTCTCTTGAAAGAAATTTTGTGAGAAGTTTACTTGCAGGGAAAAAAAACAACACTTCAGTTTCTCTAGGGTGAGCATGTCAAACAGCAAAGAATTCAACAGAATGAAGTAAGTGTTGGCAACAAGAACACCCCGGCACATTCGCTGCTCCGTAAGTCCAGTGGGACAAAAGCTTAAGCACTTGGCTACAAGGCAGGTGGTGCTTCACACTCACCCAATGTCACCTCAAGAGGAAAGCTTGGCTCTCTGCTTCTGAACCCCAGCTTTGAGACTCCTACTCTGCCCACATGGGGTCACTAGGAGTCAGAATAGACTCGTAGCAACTAACAAGAAGAGCCCACAGCTGAACTTTAATAAAACAAAACAAAGACATATCTAA